ATATGGAAGGTCGATTTTTAGAACTTTTAGGAATCTCCACACTGTTTTCCACAGAGGCTGCACTAGTTTACACTCCCACCAGCAGTGTAGAAGTGTTCCCATTTCACTGCATCCTCTCCAGCATCTGTTGTTTTTTGAGTTATTGATGATGACCATCCTGACTGGAGTTAGGTGGTATCTCAGTGTAGTTTTTAATTTGCATTTCTTTGATGACTAGCAAGGCTGAGCATTTTTTCATGTATCTGTTGGCTGCTCATGTGTCTTCTTTTGAGAACTGTCTATTCTTATCTTTTGCCCACTTTGTAATGGGGCTGTTTGGCTTTTTCTTTTTGGCACATTTGAGTTCCTTATAGTTCCTAGATGTTAGGTCTTTGTCAGACATACAGTTGGAAAATATTTTTTCCTAGTCTGTGGGTTGTCTCTTGATGGTTTTCATTCTCTTGATGGTATCTTTGGCTTTGCAGAAGCTTGTCAGTTTGATGAGGTCCCGCTTTTCTATCTTATCTCTTATGGCATGAGCACTTGGGGTTTTGATCAGGAATTGGTTATCAGTTCCAATTTCCATAAGGGTGCCTCCTGCATTTTCTAAGGTTCTTATAGTTTGAGGTTTTACATTTAGCTCTTTGATCCATTTAGAGTTGATTTTTGTGTATGGTGATAGGTAGGGATCTTGTTTTAATTTTCTGCATGTGGTCAGCCAGTTTTCCCGGCACCATTTACTGAATAGGTTCTCCTCTCCCCAGTTGTTGGTGGTGGAGGCTTTGTCAAAGATAAGTTGGTTGAGAAATTGAGGTTTTGCTTCTGGAATCTCTATCCTGTTCCATTGGTCTATATGCTTGTTCTTGCATCAATACCAAGCTGTTTTGATTATTGTAGCTTTATAATAGAGTGTGATACCTCCCTCTCAGTTTATTTTCCTGAGGATTTTTTTGGTGATTTGTGGTTATGTTTTCATATGAATTCCTGTATTGTCGTTTCCAGGTCTGAGAAGAATGCTGCTGGTAATTTAATGGATATTGTGTTAAATCTGTAGATTGCCTTGGGTAGGATGAACATGGTAACATTGTTGATTCTTCCAATCCATGAGCATGGAATATTTTTCCATTTATTTGTGTCATCTTTGATTTCTTTGAGCAGTGTTTTGTAGTTTTCATTGTAAAGGTCTTTGACTTTTCTGGTTAGGAAGATGTCAAGGTATTTTATTTTTTTGTGACTATTATGAATGAGATTGTGCTTTTGGGGGGGATTCTGTTTGTTTATTGTTGGTGTATAGAAACGCAACTGTCTTTTGCACATTGATTTTATACGCTGAGACTTTGCCAAAGTCCTTTATCAGTGCAAGGAGGTTTTTGAAAGATTCTCTTGGGTTTTTGAGGTATAGAGTCATGCCATCTGCAGAGAGGGATAATCTGACTTCCTCATCCTATTTGGATACCACTGATCTCCTTCTCTTGTCTGATTGCTCTAGCTGGGACTTCCAAAACTATGTTGAAAAGGAGGGGTGAGAGTGGACATCCTTGTCTTGTTCCATACAATTTTTAAATTTGGCATTTAACAACAATTATAGTCATTGTCATTACACTTGATGACATATGGGAATGTTTTCCCTAAGCCACTGCTCATTTATTTCATTTGTTCAATAATCAGTCAGACATATGTTACCATAACATGGCAGATTTAAAAGTCTGATATGTCAGGAGAAAGCTTGAGGTGCCAGGAGTACAGCCATAACTGTTAGGCTCTTTCTTTGGAGTCTGTTGCCTGTAAAAACTCATTAACTTTCCATACTGTTCTTCTCGTCTGAAAACTGGTTTGGATTTTGTAGAGGCACCATTCGAAGAGTCTGACCTCTAGTCTCTGTGGCAAATGTTTACAGCCATTACAGTGATGGTAAATATATAAACCCCAGTGAATACTTATGAGTTGGTAGGTGATACTTGGATGGTCTTATGTGGCATTTCGTTTATTGTTTTCCTGGCATTTCCTAATCACACTTCACGAATCACCTCTTTGCCTGTGGGGTGCTTGGAGGAGCTGTACACACAAGGCATGAAGGCAAATGGGATCGAGGTACTGATCTATTAATGCATAACACACGATTCAGGGAACAGTTTGTATGTGCAATCTGCAGCTTAGACCTCTGGGGGTCTCCTGGGTTGGCTTTCCTTCGCTTTGGACCATGCATACCTGTATGAGATGAGAGAGGAATCATACCAGATCTGCAGAGCGGCACCTGGCCTAACATGCCAAACCAGCTGGGTGTTTAGAGGATTTTAGGGGAACAAAAGACAGAGCTAGGTCTTGCCAGGACCTTTGTGTATGTTACCTTTTAAATGAAGCTCCCTAGAAATGTGCATTTTTAGGGATCCAGGCCTTGCCCTTAGTGCATGCAGGGTGCACGAGAAAGACCAAATCTGGGATGAGCACAGTGACCTCAGCCACTAGTAACTGGGCAGCGTCTTGGGCTCTGAGTAGTCAGAGGGACCTGAGGTGTCCCCTCCCCACCAGGAGAGGGCAGGTGAAAATAGTAGGTTACTCTTACAGATTTAGCATAAGAAATAATTAATAAGCCTGTTACGTAAAGTAAGTTATAAATTAGCACCAACTTGCAAGGATGTCAGGTTGACTGAGGTAGAGACTGCTTGAAACTTGATAGGAAATCTGAATACTTTTCAGACCTCAACCCAGAATAGCAGACACCTGAAGTTAAAATTGGTAAGAAATGAGTCCTGTCCCTACTCTTATCCCCAAGGGTCAGTGAATCATTTTTCCCATGCCCAGCTCCACAGCTAATATATGGATCTAGGACTTCATTTCAGAATGTTTGGGCTCTGTGTCCCTCCCTGGCTGATAAGCACTGCCTGTCCCAGGTCATGATGAATTTTCAGATTCTTGCTTGTGATGGCTCATCTTAACCCTGTCTCTTCCTTCCAGGCTTTGGCAGAGAGAACGGCTGTGTGACAATTGAATATTATTCACAGCTGAAGACTGTGTGCGTGGAGATGGGTGATGTGGAGTCTGCTTTTTGAAAACCTGCAGTGAAACCTGTTGACATGGCCAGACTGAGAGCAGTGAGAACCTCCTCTTCTACGGAGGTGGTACAACTGACACCATCTGGTCATTCAGGATCTCTCAATGTCATTCAGTGTCATTCTTCATCATTCAATCAACTTCCTAACTGAAAATGTATATGAGTGCCTTTTACATGCTAATCAAAAAAGTCATGATTTTCCTCAAAGCAAATGTCTGCGAAACCTTTAGAGCCGGTGATACACTTCCAGAGAGCAGGAGAGGGCCCAGGATCATATGTCTCTGCACAGTTCACCCACTGACAGTGTTAATTCCAACTTATTTTGAAGAATTTGCTCCTTTGTAGGTTCCTGGTAGAATCAGTGGAGATGATTTCTGCTCATGGACATTTTTCTTTCTTGTTTTTTTTTTTTTTTTTTGAGTTGGAGTCTCTGTCACCCAGACTGGAGTGCAGTGGCCGCTCCCGGCTACTGCAGCCTCGACCTGCTGGGCTCCGGCGATCCTTCCACCTCAGCCTTCCAAGTAGCCAGAATTACAGGCATGCGCTACCATGCCCGACTGATTTTTTTGATTTATTGTAGAGATGAGGTCTTGCTGCCCAGGCGGGTCTCGAACTCGCGGGCTCAGGCAATCCACTCACCTCAGCCTCCCAAAGGCGCGGGATTATAGGCTGAGCCACCGAACCTGGCTCATGGACATTTTTAAGCCTGGGTCCTCTTGTCATTCCATTGAGAAAGCTGACAGCTGGGATAGGGAGGGGATTAGATAACAAACAGGGTCATGTTCTATGTGAAGGGAAACTTGCCTAGCAAGCACTTGAGTTCCCTTCGCTGCTGTGCTGGAGAAAACCTGCCTCAGGTCCTTGAACCACAGCCTGCTCTCTTATACCAGAAGAGTTACCTTTCACATTATATAAATTCTTTGTATGTTAATGTAGCATACAGTGTTAAAATAAATCACACTGTTAATACTTTTACTCTGGTGTTTTGAAATGAAACACATTTTAAGGTTATATGGGACAGAGGATCGGGCACAAGACAGAGGGATGTAATCTTTGCAGAAAATACCAAAGGGCAGCTCAGTGGCTATAATGAACGTTTTGTAGCTCCTGCCAATGTTTAGGTTTCGTGTTCGTCCATGTTTGTGCAGACTCTGATAAGCAGCCTGTGTCCTTGCAGTGCTGTCAGATCTTTGTGACTTCAGATGACTAGGGATGCCTCATCCACTGCCTTCTCTTCCTTTCAGGGACTCGCTTGTAAATACTGGCTAATTCAGTTGTCAGAGACAAAGGATGATTGTTGTTATTGGGCCTGGATCTAATTATGCAATTATGACGGACAGATGTCATAGTTTTGTGGCATAAGAACAACTGAATCAGCCTTTCTTGGTGTGTATCTGCACAGTGGATGCTTATGTAACACCGGACAAGGCCAGCAGCGTTCCCTCTTGCCTTGTCTTAGGGCATCCTTGTGAAGATCCTTGTGCAACTGAAACAGTAGGAACTGCCGACAGCAGACAAGCATCTGACAGTCCCTCTAAAGAGAAACAGCAGGGGAAGGGAACTAACTGTTGCATACTCACTGTGTTCCTTCTCATTTAATACTCACACTAAGCCTGAGGAAGATATTTTCCCCAAGTTTCTTTCTTTCTTTTTTTTTTTTTTGAGTTGGAGTCTCACTCTGTCACCCAGGCAGGAGTGCGGTGGCACACTCACAGCCACAGCAGCCTTGACCTGCTGGGCTCAGACAATTCTTCCACCTCAACCTTCCAAGCAGCTGGAACTACAGGCATGCACCGCCCTGTCCGGCTAATTTTTTGATTTGTTGTAGGGATGAGGTCTTGCCATGGTGCTCAGACTGGTCTCGAACCTATTGACTCAGGCAGTCCTCTCACCTCGGCCTCCCAAAGTGCTGGGATTATAGGTATGAGCCACCGCGCCCGGCCTTTTCCCTGATTTTTAAATGAAACTGAGGTTTGGGGAGGTCTTGGTTCTATGCAAGTATATGTCTATATGCATATATCTACAGATCTATATCTGTCTATTATCCGCCAATCTGTCATTTATCATCCTTTCATCTATATCTATCTATCTAGCCATCCATCTGTCTGTCAATCTATTATCTATTTGGGTTTCCGTCCATGGTTCCTTGCTCATAACCCTATAGCCCTTGTTATAGTCTTGTTATAATGTTGGAGTGCTTTAGGCCTCAGGCAACAGAATTTCTCTTTGACTTTTTCCTGCTCTCCTTTCACTTGCCCAAGCCAGGACTGTATTCTTTCCCTAACTTTCTGATTGTGGGTCATAAGACTCTCACGTAAGAAGGAATCCTGCCCTAGGAGAGCTGCACAGAGAGGCCAAGAATCTGAAGACAGGGCTTGCTGGGTTTCCCTACTGTCTGTTACCCTTTCATCCAGTCACATTTCTGCACAGTTATCCATGCTTTAATCAGGCCTATTCAATAAAGTCCACATAAAAGACCTGAGAGGACAGGGTCCGGGGAGCTTCTGAAGAGCTGAGCATGCGGAGGCCTGCAAAAAGGCGAACAAAAGCTCATCCGTATGCCGGGAGGGTGATGCACCCCAGCTCCACAGGAACCGACGTGCCCGTCTGGGGACCCTTCCAGACCTCGCCTGTGCATCTCTTCACTTGGCTATTATTTGTAACCTTTAAAATAGCTTTTGTCATAAACTGGGGATACATGTTTCCCTGCGTTCTGTGAGCCACTCTAGCAAATTAATCGAACTGAAGATCGGATGGTGGGAACCCCAGCTTGAAGCTGGCCGGTCAGAAGTTTTGGTGGCTGGGACTTGTGACTTGTGGGAAGGAGAGGGAAGTCTCGTGGGCCTGAGCCCTCAACCTTTGTGATCTGATGCTGTGTACAGGTAGACAGTGTCAGAGCTGAATTGGAGGACACCTAGCTGGTGTCTGGTGCAGAACTGATTGTTTGATGTGTGGGAGAACCCCCCCCCATTTTGTCGCAGAAGTCTTCTGTGTTGATTGTTGTTGTTTGAGAGCAGAGGAAAAAAGTTTGAGTTTTTCCACATTCAGCCAGTATAAGTTGAGCAGCTTCAAGTCAGGTAGGGGTCTCCAGTTCCTATGCTTTCTGCTCCCCCTCCCTGGGTCCTAGAACTTAATGTCCTGGGTCCTAGAACTTAATGTGGTATTTTCCTAGGTGTGCTGTGACAAGCTACCTCCAACTTAGTAGCTTTTTATTTTTATTTTTTGAGTTGGGATTTCACTCTGTCATCCAGGCTGGAGTGCAGTGGCATGACGACCAATCACTGCAGCCTTGACCTCTTGGGCTTAAGTGGTCCTACCACCTCAACCTTCTGAATACCTGGAACTATGGATGCACACCACTACACCAGCTATGTTTTTTTTAGATGGGATTTTGCTATGTTGCCCAGGCTGGTTTCAAACTCCTGGGCTCAAGCAATTCTCCCACCTTGACCTCCTAAAGTGCTGAGATTACGGCATGGACCACCATTCCTGGCTGATTTAGCAGCTTAAAGTAACACAAATTTATTATCTGACAGATCTGGAGGTCAGAAGTCCAAAATGGTTTCACTTGGCCACAACCAGGAAGTTGTCAAGGCCACACTCCCTCAGGAGGCTTCAGGAGAGAATCCTTGCCTTTTTCCAGCTTTTGGAGACTTGTTCCCTGGCTCAAGGCCCCTTCGCCTCTCTTAAAAGCCAGCAGCTTGGCATCTTCAAGACTCTGTCTGCTCCATCACCTCGATCTCCTGGGCTCAGACAATCCTTTCACCTCGACCTCCTGAATAGTTGGGACCACAAGCACAAGCTCTTCAAATTTTTTTGTAGAGATGAAGTGTTGCTGTTGCCCAGGCTGGTCTCAAACTCCTGGGCTCAAGCAATCCTCTCTTCTCGACTTCCCAAAGTGCTGAGATGATGGGCGTGAGCTACCACGTCTGGCTGCCTCCCTCTTAGAAGGACACTTGTGACTGTATTTAGGGCCCACCAATAGTAATAGTTATGATAATGTTGAGCAGTGGCTCAGAATTCTATATTTTTAATTTATTTATTTTTGAGTTGGGGTCTCACTCCATCACCCAGGCTGCAGTACAGTGGCACAAGCATGACTCACCACAGCCTCGACCTGGGGTTCTTCCGTTTCAGCCTCCTGAGTAGCTGGGACTACATGTGTGCACCACCACACTCGGCCAATGTTTTTAACTTTTTATGGAGACGAGGTCTTGCTGTGTTGCCTAGACTTGTCTTGAACTCCTGGGCTCAAGCAGTCCTCCTGCCTTGGCCTCCCTAAGTGCTGGGATTGCAGGAGTGAGCCACCATGCCGGGGCCAGAGTCCTGTCTCTAACTTGGCTTTTTGTTACTCCAAGAAGAAGCAGTCCCTAACCTGGGCAGGTCTTTTACATACAAAGGTGGCCCCTTCTCTGCTACACTTTATTTCTTCTAGAGACCCTATTGCTGAAGGCAAGATTCTGGCAAATTGAAAGTGGGTAAAGTTTCCTAGAAGTAGGTGCACCCCAGGCCTTGCCTACTGTTTGCAATGTCAGGGTCTCCAGCCCTGCTTCTCTGAAATGCTGGGTCTGGGTTGGGCTTTCCTCTGAAATAATGAACCCATGGATTTTCTTTTACCTAAAGACCTATCTTTGTCTTTCGATTTAGGGTCTGAGGGGGAAAAAGTTAGCAAAGGGAATAAAGGAGACAAGCTTAGTGGTTGAATTATGCTGGGAAGAACTATAAAAAAATCAGGCTGGGCATGGTGACTCTAATCTGTAATCTCAGTGCTCTGGAAGGACAACGTGGGAGAATCAATTGAGCCCAGGAGTTCGAGACCAGCCTGGGCAACATAGTGAGACCTCGTCTCTACAAAAAGTAAAAAAAAATTAGATATGGTGGTGCATGCCTGTAGTCCCAGGTGCTGATGAGGCTGAGATGGGAGGATTACTTGAGCCCAGAAGATCGAGGCTGTAGTGAGCCATGATCATGCCACTGCATTCCAGCCCTGGGTGACAGATTGTGATGCTGACTAAAAA